CCTTCAGGGCGTACTGCAGTGCCGCATGATCCGTACGGACAGTGAAATGCTGACCGTACAGATATGGGCGGTACTGTTGGATGAAGAAAACAATTGCCAACAGTTCTCTACGGGTGACACAATATTTTTGCTCCGCTGGAGACAACACCCGACTGCCGTACGCAACCACCCGTTCCACGCCATCAACCACCTGGGAAAGCACGCCTCCGATACCTGTGTTGCTCGCGTCGGTGTCGAGCAAAAACGGCCTCGAAAAATCGGGGTAAGTCAAAGGAGGAGCCTTCACCAATGCATCCCGAAGGGAGCAGAAAGCTACTTCCTCCTCCCGACCCCAGTGGAACCGAACCCCTTTTGATGTCAAAGCATGTAGGGGTTTGGCAATTGTAGCAAAATTAGCGACGAACCGTCGGTAATATGAAGCGAAGCCAATAAAACTCCTCACCTCCCCCACCGAGGTCGGAATTGGCCAGGAGCTGACACACTGCGTTTTGGCGGGATCGGTAGCAATACCCGAGCGCCCCACGATGTGCCCCAAATAACGCACTGACTCGCGAAACAAATAGCATTTTTGGGGCTTAAATTTCAAATTAGCAGCCCGCATCCTTTGGAAAACCGCCCGCAGCCTCTGGAGATGTTCGTCAAAGGTTCTTCCAAAAACAATTACGTCATCCAAATAAATCAGGCACGATTCCCATTGCAATCCAGCCAAAACCAATTCCATCAACCGCTGGAAGGTTGCCGGCGCTGAGTGTAAGCCCATCGGCAACCGGTTGAATTGGAACAGGCCGTGCGGTGTACGGAAAGCGGTTTTAGGCTTCGAATCATCGTCCAGAGGAAGCTGCCAGAATCCCGAAAGTAAATCTAGTGTGGAGAAGAATCGCGCTCCCGCCAAGGCGTCCAGCGATTCGTCCATCCGTGGGAGCGGGTATGCGTCGGCAACCGAAACCTTATTAAGGCGACGGAAATCTACGCAAAACCGCAACGAGCCATCCTGTTTCTTAACCAGGACAATCGGTGCTCCCCAAGGGCTGGTAGAGGGAGAGATAATGTCGGCGGCTAACATGTCATCGACAGCCGATTTGACATGGTCCTTTTCGGCGGGACTCAACCGAAAAGGATTTTGGCGAATAGGCGCGCTGTCACCCGTGTCAATATGGTGACGCAGCAGGTGAGTACAACCCAAATCGTATTTATTCCGACTGAAAACGTCGGAAAATTCCTTTAGCAGCGATCTAAGCCGTTGGCGCTCTAAATTGGACAGGTTCGTCGATCCCGCACAAAGCGCGTCGAGCCACCCTTCATCGCCGTCCGAATGCGGGTGCGTCCGAGCAGCAGTGTCAATGTGGTTCACGGCAGGTTCCTCGCAGGGCACCGGCGTCGCGTGAGCGAGCACAGTCCCTTGGGGAACCACTACTGTCTGCGACCCGACATTGAGGACCGCGATGAAGGGATCCTCGTCCCCCCTTACGATGGTCTGGGCCGGAATTAAATGAGGCCCATTAACCCCGGCCCTAGACGGCCCCAGCACAACACCCTGATCCCCAACACCCTTAGCGAAGGGCCTACGAAGTTTAAGAGGTACCAGCATTTGTGCCCCCGGCGGCACACGCACTGTTTTTACGACGAACGCCGGTACCGTCGCGAACGCCGTCCGAGTCGCTACAGGGGAAGGCAGGAACGCCATACGTCGCCCCGACGGAAGCTCAATGCATCCTTGGTCGATCAAAATACGAATTGGCATCCTGCCCAAGAAGTCCGTCCCCAGCAGGCACGGAACTGCCAGTGAGGAGGAGACAAAAATCGGCCCCGACAATTTGATGTCCCCGATAGAAATTTGCGCTCGAATCTGTCCCACGATGCCGAGAGAGCCCCCGTTAGCGGCATAGAAAGGGACATTAACCGGTAGCAAAGGACGGCTCTGCACCGGTAGAATATTGTAAATTAGTTCCGAAATAATTGTCGCCGATGCCCCTGTATCGACTATGATGCGTACCTCCACCCCATCAATGTAACCGACCACGGCCGACGATCCCGACGCCGCGGCCACCACGCGATGGGCCAACACGGACCACCGCTCGGGCTCGATTTGAGTCCCCGCAGTGATCCGCGCCGGTCCATCGCAGCGCCCCACCGGCCCCCCGTTCGTTACGGTGCGAGAGTGTGCGACAGGTGGGTGCGTTGGCCAAACATGTGAGGTGCCGCGACTCGCCGGATCATGGTGCTGGAGCTTGGGAGGAGTAAGAGGAGGGCCGGCGTCCTGTCGAGGCGTCGTCCCCCGCTGTCGAGGAGAACGGCACCCCGAGGCGACATGGCCCCGGATGCCGCAGTTGAAGCACCGCGGGAGCGCCGATGGAGACGATGGACGGTCGAAACGCCTCGGCCCGTCCCGACCCGGCCGCGCCCCCGTCGTCTGTTGCCGTCGATGGTCGACGGCATAAAGTTCTTCTGACGGAAGGGTGGTTGCAGCCACCGCACGCCCAGCCGATGCCCTGTTTGCCTTTCGCCGCTGCTGCAGAAGGTTGGCGTGGAGGAGTCGCGCAGCCTGGAGGGAGGTCATTTCTGCATCCCCTTGTGCGATGACGACGATGTCGAGGTCGTCCGCCAAGAGGAGGATCTTCTCCGCGACCATTGCGTCCACGCCGTCGTCGTCCATGCGGGGAAAGGCTGTTTTTGCCAGCGCCAGAAGACTTGTCCGGAAAGCCAGAGGCGACTCTTTTTCACCCCGCCTGCGATCGTAGAACTGCTGACGGCATTCGGCTGAAGGTCCATAGACCCCGGCCAGCAGCTGTAGCGCCATTGGTAGTGTAGCCCGCTTCTCTTTTGGCGCCGACGTGAGTGCGGCGAGCGCGTCCCCATCGAGGAGCGCCGGCAGCGCGCAAAGGGCCTCCTCGTCGGACCACCGCGCCATCTCCTGATGGGCGAGGAAGCGTCGCCGGAAGCCGCCCCAGTCACCCTCCGCACCGATGAATTCCTTCAGCGGGGGCAGCCTTTGGTGAAGCGCAGCGGTCGATGTGGACTCCCGCAGGTTGCTTTCACCTCCCTTTGGCGGTGCCTCGGCGCGACTGGCCGATGGCATCGCCTGTCGCGGCAGCGATGACGCATCCTTCGGCTGCGATGACGCTGCAGCCCCGGCGACGGCGATGTCGGAGCCGATGTCTGAGCTGGCCACGCCCCGAACAGCCGCGGCGTCCATGGCGGGAAATTCAAATTGTGAAGTCGCTGAAATGGCGGGAAAGTGCTCCGGCCGCCGGTTCTCCTCGCCCTGCGGTGGACCACCAGCCCCCAACCGCGTAATGCCTTCCAGTGTGGCGGCAGCGGCATAAAGTAGCTCCGCCAGCCGTTCGTGAGCCAGTCGTAGTGCATCTGGCTGCGGCCCCTCTCCATGCTGACGTCCCGGTGAGAAGGCGCCAGGCTCCGGCTGCACCCCATCTTGTTGCTCTGTCTCGGGCTCGGCGATCTCCGCGGCGTTCTCCTCTTGTGGTACCCTGGTCCGAGCTGTATGGCGCGTTTCCATTTTTACCACTTCTGACGCCAGATGAAGTACCCGTCGAGGACGCTTGACAACGGAGTTGAGGCACACGTATATTTATTTAACAAGTTGCCAGTACAGGACAGCCCTAGAGGGGGTAGCGGCCCCCTCACCCGTATAACTCAGGGAATACCCCTAGCTATCCATAGCCTATCCCCTGAGTCCTCCACTAAGAGCTAGGGGAGGCTGTCTGGCCCGACACTGGTAATCGGGCTCGGTACCCGGAGTCCCAGAGCACTGGCTCTGGTTCACGGGACCACGCCACTGGCTCGAGCCTGATCCCGTGGGGCCCTGATAAGGGCGGCGATCAGGGGGAGTCCAGGGCTCTAGCTACGACGTCTTCCGACTTCTTAGCTTAACTATAACATAACTGACTAAGCCCATATAACGACCCCTTTTTATACCCAACCCTCCTTGAGGGGTGGGGCCCCGGGGGATCGTAACGCCGAACCAGCCCCCCCCCAGGGTGTCTGGCTCGGACGTCGCAGAGGGCATCTCCCTGTGCACACACGTAGCCCCGCCCACTGTGTTTCTTTCCCATAGGCTGCCATGCATAACGGCCCTCTCTCCAACGTCCCTACACTAGTGCCAAGAAATCAAACTTCGACGGTGACATGCACACCAATCTTTTCTAGATGTCACAAAGTGCACAATTAATCAGCACGTGTGAAACAGTGAATGCAAAAGTGTCAAAACGCGTTTTAGCACGCGATATGGCGTCTAATAAAACACGCACACGCTGCAGCGTTGTCTGCACTTAGCGGCCACTTAAATGCTGCCGCTGGCGTCACGGTTAGCACACACTGGGCTTGCAGTCCAGAGGGTTGCAAGTTTGATCTGTAAGCACGGCATATGAAACGATGGTGCACGTTTCTTAAATTCCCCCACTTCTGTCCACACCAAGCAATTAGTCAATTGGCAGGCCGCGTGCGGTGGGGTAAAGTGTTGGGTAAAAACAAAGATGCCGCCACCTGATGACTTCAAGTGAAACACATGCTAGCTCCACATCAGGTAGAAAAAAGGGATTCGAGCCAAATACCTGTCGTTGCGCAGACGACTCTATGCAAAATAATGTTAATCTTTGAGTCTTTCACAATTTTAAATACCATACATATCTCATCTTTCCATGGTGTCATCATATGAATACTAGCTATTGCACGTGACAGTTTGCCTCGTAGGGCTTCTAACAGGAAAGGACTTCGGCATTAAAAAAATAATTCAACTTATTTTTTCTATATAAGTATGTTAGCTATCATCTCAACACACAATGCCAAACGGACTCTAATAGAATGACAGACAAGGCGTGTTTACAATGCCACTCTGCGTTGTCGAGCGCGGACACGCTTTGAAGCGTTGTACTCTTGAGATCACCTCGGTAGCATACACTCTGTCCGCCAGATTAACCTAGCGCCCTGTATACGTTTTAAGTTACGTAAGTCGATAACGAGTGCTGTGGTGCAATGGCTCTCACCAGTCCGACTGAGTGCCATTCTCTTGCTCGGCCTCGTCTGCCGCAACCTTTGGCTTCACGTTCCGTTTCTAAATCAGAGGAGAGTGCAAAAGAAACTGACATTACCGCCCCACACGTTAACATTCACAACCAGATTCACGCGTAGGCTCTCGCGACCAATTCTATCCATAATCGAGGTTTTTTTGGGTTGGATCGCGTAAATATAAACGTGTTTGTTAAACCCGCCACCACCACCCGACACAGTCAATTAGTAAGGCTTGTCACGTAAACAGAACGTGCCAATTCGTTACTAGTACAGCACACCGGTGTGCTGAATTGACAATTCTGGCTATCGCCTGATGAGGCTGGTTGTAATTACTGGTGAAACGTCGTAATCAAATTGTAAAATGTTGTGGGTCTGCTCGCCAACACACCGGTGTGCTGACCTAGTCACTGATTGTCATGTTCTGTTTACGTGACAAACCTTACTAAGTGGCTGTGTCGGGTGGTGGTGGGTTCAACAACACATTTATATTTACGCAATCTAACAACAACAAAAACCTATGTTATGGATTAACAACCAGAGATGTATGACGATGCTATTTGGTGATCGAGTATTAACACATTCCTGCGGAGGGAGCTGGTAGGAACGTTGGGTTGCTCGGTCAATGGCCAGGGTCAACGGCAGCGTGGTGTATTCCGCAAATATGCCCGACTGTGAGGGTGGGCACAAGCCGGCGTGAGTAGGTTAAACGTTGAGTTTTATAAGGGCACCACGGGGTGACCAGCCCCTCCCCTCCCCACCCAGCCCCACCCCTCCCACCCCCCACCCAGCCCCACCCTCCCCACCCAGCCCCTCCCCACGCTCCCCTCCCCACCCAGCCCCTCTCTCCCCACCCAGCCCCTCCCTGCACGACGGACACAATAATCCCCTGTGGGCTGGTGTAACCAGGAGGTTCCTACCAGTATAACCCTTTCATGGAGATAACCTGCATCATCTGAAACAACTACCAACAGCATAACGCATATGTATATGCGACTGGCATTTGTTTTACTCTGAAACGACTCTTGGTCCACCGCAGAGGTTTGCTTTCAAAACGCGTCAGAGAGGACGTCCGGGGAGGAGGGGGAGACGTGTACACACGCTCACAGATCATCACATCGCACCACCGTAAGGGACAGCGACAGTTTATGGAGGCCCGCATCCAGCAGCGGATCAATTGTGGCTGAGGGTGGCGATATGATTAAGTTCTTGGTACGGGCTGTCTGTTGTCACCGCTCGCAAATCTCCCACTTTGGCACGGAACCGGCAGTGTTACTAATTTAGCACGTGCCAGTTTTGTTAAGGCCATTAATGCAGTCGGCGCAGGATCCAAATAGCTTGCGGCAGACGCAGCATCCACAGAGACAGCGATTTTGCAATAAAACACACGCGGCATTTGATGTGACTGCTAAGCCACCGTCTCAACGAGGGGGGGGGGGCATTGCAGTGCTTATATAACGGTTTTGATGAATGTTTTCACATTGACTGAGATTAGACGTTGTGAGATGTGGCTGGGAGCCTCGGGGGGGGGATGATTCTACCGTGTTGTGAGCCGGTCCGCCACCGTCACTGCGATGCTGAATGTGAATCTGGGCAGACATCCGTGATTAAACCAGATTCTCCAGTGTAATACGTTGAAGGTCTCTGCTCAGTCGCGAATGCCTGCGCACAAACCCCCCCCCACCCCATCCAAACTCTAATTAAGGAATGTATATATATGTAATAATCCTTCTGAGACGGCTTCGGAATCGGTCCTTTTTATTTCCACTTCCACAAATACACTTTATTCACACACTCTCCGTTGCTGGCTGACAACGGAGAGAGGGCAGACTTCACACCAAGTCCCCACCGCGCACGTGGCACCCAGAGCCCCCGTACACGCGTGACCCCTGCTCTTGTCGTTCCCCAGTCTGCTCTCGATCGCTCTCTCTCTCTCTCTTAATCCCTTCGTCACGTGGTACCCCCCAGCCAATCCTCCATAGACAGCATTGACCGTTCTCGATGGTTCCCTGTCAATCCCGGGACCACGCCTCTGATCCGGCTCCCCATTAGCTGGGGCCCCGAATGGCCAGGCCAATCACCCCTGCTAACATGCCGTGATCACGCAGAGGCCATGCTCCCTGTCCTCAACCCTTATTGGCTACAAAGCAGGACCGGCAAGCCAATCCCCACGTGAACCCTCTATGGCTGTTATTACATATACAAGGTGCTTTAAAAAAACGTGAACGATTATATGAGACTCTCGTTTTTAATGGGAAAAGAACGGAGAATACACTGTAACATGATTTAAGAAATGTATGTTTATAGTTTAAAATAGTCGAAGAGTCTCCACTTGTTCGCCATCATTGTCAACGCGTTGCCTGGAATCTTCTCCAGGTGGTCTCCAGAGCCCGGAGGCACATTTCTTCGTGGAATTGTTGCAAATTCTCAGAAGTGTTCACATCTTTTTTGAGCACCCTGTATGTAAAGTGTGTGTATGTTGAACTTCTTTTGCACCATACGTAGTCAACCGTGCTAATCGGCAGTGAGGGTGAAGGACAGCGATCTAAACACAAATAGCAGTTCTAAAGAAATTAGTTTTCAATCTAGATTTGAGAGCGCATCGCTTTAGTTGCTTCCTAATATCCGAAACTAATTAAATGATATAATAATGAAAGGACAAAGGAAACGGGAAGGGAAGAAAGAAAGAATGTAAAATGAGAGAAGTATTGAAAAATCTTAATTTTGGAGCTTTCGTAACTGCAGGAATTATTCTTTGGTTCTTTCGGTAAAGTCACGTATAAAGATAAAATAATAAACTAAATAATAGCATATGACGTTTCGATTGCAACACAAGCAATCATCATCAGGTATAAATGAAATACCAACAAAAATCTAACCGAAATCTAACAGATATATGTCTGTCTATAGTTTTCTGGTTAGATTTTTTGTTGCTATTTCATTTATACCTGATGATGATTGCTTGCGTTGCAATCGAAACGTCGTATGCTATTATTTAATTTATTATTTAATCTTTATACGTGACTTTACCGAAAGAACCAAAGAATAAGTATGGAAAAGGAACAGATAAACGGCACCAAAGGATCAGGAGAGATGCCGCCAGCAACAAACTAAATGGGAAACTATTAAATAAAGTGCACATTAACGACTGTGACACGTGCAAACATTGAACAAATAAGCAGAGATCTGTGCAAGATTAAAATTACATTGATGGACAAAAAAAAAGAACACGTGCGTGAGAGAAAACGTATGAGAGTTACACAAAATATATTCACTTGCTGAGAAGAGTAGTGGGGCAGAACACGCCAGCAGAAAAATACTTTACGTCGGATTGCCAGCCAAAGTAGGGGAACTCAACCGAGAAGAGATCCTCTGCCAAGACGGAGCGATGAGATTCGCCCGTGGATTACTAAGTCACAGTTCTCCGTGAGGCGGCAAAGGCTTGGGGAGGCTTTCATCCAGAATTGCAATGAGCATGGCTGATGACGACGGTGATGGTGATGATGATGGTGATGAAACCTTAACGACCAGAGTCGTTACGGTGCACGAAGCATTGCCAATCATGTGATTACTGGAATAGGCCAATTGCAGTGACTCCCGCGGCGTTCTATATTGCCATCATCCAGGGCGACTCACTGCCGAGCAATCCTGTTAGAGTTCCAGAAAGATGCATTCTCCATAAGGACGCGTGCGTCAGTGATTTGCGTTTGCGTAACATGCGGGCTAAAAATCCACTGTCTACTAAAGTCAAGGGTTACCTTTTCCTTTTGAAATGCTCGGATGATGGAGCGTCTCTTTCTCACGGCAAACTCCTCCGTTACCTCTGTTCCCTCCGACTTCGGCAGCTGCAGTGAAGCGAGAATGTTAATAATCAAACGAGCTTAAATAACGGTTAAAGCCAAGGTGTCTCCCTGCTCAAGCAAGCAAGAGGCAAACCTTTTGTTCAAATGATGCCCTTTGGTTAGTAAATATTCTACATTTCTATAATCAAGAGCAGTCACAAAACAAACATAACTGGTCAAATTTTATCACAAACCGGTGCCATTTTTATTTAGTTGATGATGGGCTGCATCAACCTCTAACTGGGATTTCGACTCGCACACAATTGTGAATCATCTGTACAAGCAGTGGCCAGAACAAAACCTGCGTAGCTTCTCCAGGAGCTGGCAATGTTTTAATCCTGAGTGTTATGGCTGGTGTGCCAGAATTAGAAAAAACTCTCCCAGGTCACCATTTCGTGTGGCACACGTTGTACCTAAAACCTGTTTCGATCTTTGACTCTTTAGCCCCAATTATGCCAATGGGTAAAGTTTAGCCTCGAAGTTCAGCTGTATCCCCACTGAGAGGCGAGCCAAAATTTGCATATAACACAAAGAAGCAGGCTCATTTTCATAAGCATAAACATGTCCAGCTGTACCCCCCTGCTGATCTTGAGAAAATTAGATTTCAGTGAATATTCCTGTGGGAAATTATACAAGGCCATGTGTCTCACTCTTCAATGCAGACGCAGGCACGCCAACTCAAGAAGGCAGCTTCTCACTGTTGCACAGTGTTTCAGTTGTTCTCAAACAGCACTTCCAGTTGAGTTTATGCCATCACGTTTCATGTTTAATGTTACAATATGTATCCCACGTTTGTAAGTGTACATGCAGTATCTAAGTCTTAGGTTAAAGCTATTGTCTTTATGCAGATACTAATAATAAAATGCATCATGTACTTGTTTTATTACATTATTTGAAAGATTAAAAGGCCTGTACCATGATATGGCTTTACTTGGATAGAATCTCATTTCATATGGGCACTTTTGAATCAGATCACAGTATTTCATATCTCAGGTTTAACAAAGTAAGAGTATCTTTACGATGCAGCTTTATAAAGTCAACGGACATATTCAGGCAATAAATATAGTACATTCGTTAGCTTGTTAATGTTGAAAAAATGCATCTATCGCCAGGAGATGTAATTATTTTTTGTAAAATAAACAAAGTAAACTAATAGATGAATAAGATTTAACTTTATCATATTTTCATGTCACGGAAAGGCTGCAAGTTTGATTGAAATATTCCAAACTTGCAGTAGTTAGGGGCTGGGTAGATTGCTGAATATAGACAAATGGTTGATACCTTCAGACGCTGTCACCTCGACAAACCTGGTTTTCACCTGAGGACGGCTGCTTGCGTTGTGGCCAAAACGTCGTGAGAATTGTTTTATTATGTTTTTGTATTTTTATTTTATTACTTCCCTTCTACGTGACTTTACCGAAAGAACCAAGAAGATGAATCCCTGCAGTCACGAAAGCTTTAAATCGGTTGATACCTTGTCACGAGTGTCGATTTTTACTCGCTCCTCTAGAGGCTGCATATCTAAAAAAATTATAGAGAGTGGATATGAAAACTTTTCTCGAATAAACCTTTTTTCCTCAATTTCCAGCAGCTTTTAGCCTAATTTATTTTTCCTTGGACAACTTTACCCATTTCAAATGTTGTTAAATATTTGTTAAGACCACCACTGTAAGCAAAATATAAATGTGCTTTACATTCACGGGGTTGTTACCTCCTTAAACATAAAATAGTAAGTGGATTTTCACATTTTCACTTAAAGCTTTCGTGACTGCAGGAATTCATATTCGTTGGGTCTTTCGGTAAAGCCGCGTAGATAGAAAAAAAAAATATCACGACGTTTCGATCGCAACACAAGCAATCGTCATCAGGTGCAAAAATAGCGAGAGAGCTGCTGAGGCAGGATGTTATAAAGGTTTGAGATGGGTGTAGCCCAAGGGTCATAAGCGAAGTGGGCGGGGCTAGTGATGAAATTTGCATGTCAATGTAAGATCGGGTAAATCGGAGAGCTACCTCCACGACGACGAAGCTGTGGAGGTGGCCATTGTATTGTGAGAGATTAGCATGTCAATGTAAGGGGTGGCCATTGTATTGTGAGAGATTAGCATGTCAATGTAAGATCGTAGAGCCACCGCCACATCGAGGAAAACGAGCAACGGTGGCTGTGTTGGTGAGACATTTAACCCGTTAATGTAAAGACATTTAATCTGTTAATGAAACACCAGAGAGTCGAAATTAGGAATTTTCACTCCTGGTTTAAGGTCACAGAGGTAGTCAAGCACTGCCTAAATGCGTATCTTAGCACGGACAAATACGGTCTTGTAGTAATCAGGTAAAAGGTAAATGTGCAGCCCTGCAATTCCTTGCTCGTGCCACCGCTGGCAGAGGTGCCTCCACAAGAGACAGCTCCTAAAGAGGCCCTCTAGGAGGTATTTGATGTATTATTTCTTCCCACTGGCCCAGCTATCTTTGAAGAGGTGGGATTACTCGGATGTCACCGTACTACATGTGTAGTGGGTTCGAATTAGGTGCACACACACACAGCTTGGAGGCAACACTATTTATTAAACGGTAAGTAATATAACACTGTACATGAGGTGGTGACCACCTTCCTCAACTCACTAACACTCTGGAACACGACACAGAGTGGACCAGGCAGGCGACGGGCTGCCTGGTCCAGGACGACGACCCGGGACTTAGGAGTTCAACAGCCCCGCTCTGCATCCACACCCCGCTTATATCTGCTCCGCTCAGGCCACGCCTCCCTTCCCAGGCCACGCCTCCCTTCCCCCACTTAACGGGAAGGTCTGGGTCCCTCCACCACATGACCCCCCCCAGGCACCCCCTTGGGGCCCCCAGCCCTCGTACGGGCCGACACAGTAGTGACGTCCTATGTCACTACACATGTGACCCGCTGATCGACCAAGTGTGGTGAGCCCATGCATACTGTTGGGGGACAGAGCTACGGCTGGGGGGAGCGGTAGTGTCGTGGTTAGCACGTTGCCCTACGGCCAACACCAGTGACGATTATCTGAACCGGTTCTGGACCTCCCCTAGGTCGACTCAGCCTCAAATTAGTACCTAGTGCAGTGAGTAAACATCGCCACTGGGGAGACAAAGGTGGTCGGGCGTGGCGCTGACCACCCAACCCCCTCGTGTGCCACAGTGCCCGGCCTTCATAGGTGCTCGCTAACAGCACTTGCCCCAACAGTCTGCAAAGGCTATACGGGGGATCAATGTCTTTATCTTTGGGGGGGGGGGGGTGGGGGCATTTAAAGAAACAAATACCATTGTTTCAACGCTGTGCTAACCGTCGCAAAAGTGAACCACCTGCTCTTGCTGGAGGCAGATGGCGGGCTTGGTGGCACGGGGCAGGGCTCCGATGGTGAATTCCTCAACCTCCTCCTCGTGGCTCCTCAGCTTGGACTCCTTCTTCATGAACTCGAGGCGCCTCTTGGCGAACGACTCCACCAGCTTGCGGTGGGGGCTGCTGTTCTGCACGGGGCAAGGGCGGCACAGAGATGGGTTCGCAGCCGCCGCTTGCCAGCGCACTCGGGCGGCACAGCTGCCACGGTCCACGAGTTAACAGTAAAAAAGGGGTTCATCTGCTCGGTTCTTTCGGTAAAGTCACGTAGAATGGAAATAATAAAATAATAAAAATAAAACAATAAAATAATAAAACATAATAAAATAATAAAAATAAAACATAATAAAATAATTCTCACGACTGTTTCGGCCACAATGCAAGCAACCGTCCTCAGGTGACCTGTTCTTCACCTGAGGACGGCTGCTTGCGTTGTGGCCGAAACGTCGTGAGAATTATTTTATTATGTTTTATTTTTATTATTTTATTATTTCCATTCTACGTGACTTTACCGAAAGAACCAAGAAGATGAATCCCTGCAGTCACGAAAGCTTTAAATCGAAAAATAAAAAGGGGGGTGAAGGCGCAGGCCCTGCAATTGCTTGCTCACGCCACTGCTGGCGGAAGGGCCTCCACTAGAAGGAGCTATGGAGAGCTCCTCGAGAGGGTATTGTGGCCAACTCTTCAAACGCCGGCCAAATGTCTTGGAAGAGGTGGGAGGACCCACACTTTACCCCCCCACACACACACGAGGCCTTTCATACTGTTGGGCTGAGTCAGGGTGGATGTAATAAACTTGGACATTTTTTTCAACAGCCCGTGTCGCAAGACCGAATCAGCGACCTCTCACCGTGTCTCATTGACCGTACATTTTTTTCTAAACCTGCCAATGATAGTACTTCGTCAATTCACCTGACAATCGTATCAGCGGAATAAGCTACTGGACATTTGTGACATAGAGTTTTACAGCTCGTGGGATTACTCCAGTATAAATAAAGATTCTGATTCTGACAGGTTAGTTGAATTTGTAGGCTTGCTAATAGGCTATCAGCAACCAGTGTTGAAATCTATCTGGCTGTGGCAGAAATTTAACGACAATGTCAAAAAGTATAAAGCTACTTTTTATTTTAGCAGGTAAGGCCCACTGAGCCACAACTTATAGCTCAACGGAGTGTCGTATCATGTGGAAATTTACAGCAGCCAAATATTCTAAACACGTCTCTAAATGCGGAGGGAAAAACCGGAAGACACGGAGAAAAATCCACGTGACCATTGGGAGAGAGAACATGCAAACTCCAAATATACAGCAGGCATCAGGGTCGGAATCGAACCCACGACCTCCTGTATACCAGGCGAGCTAGTTAACATCTCCTAGCCACCGTGGCACCCGATTGAAGGGGTAAGAATCCTTCTTAGTGCGTGCTGCTTTTTTTTCGCGGATGGGGTTGTTTTGTTCAGCCCTTGGTGGCTCTCACTTTGCTAAGCGACAGCCAAATACAGGAAGTCAATGGCAGGCAATCAAAAACACACATGTATTACGATTGTATGGCAGTACATCCATTGTTGGACTTTCAATGTAATCTGAAATTTAACCCGGTACATTTGTCCACGTGGTTATTTCATTACTGGCGTTTCTCTGCGCCCTTTCTCAAATCGCTGTGGTCACCACAATAGTGCAGTTCGAGAATATGAATGGATGGCCACGCGGACACAAGGAAACCGGATAACAGTAACCTCTCATACATTTTCATTGATGACAAAAATAACGTTATGTGCCTGCCGATTTAAGACTCGTATTTCAGGTCAAAATTTTGTAGCAATATTTCATTTGTAAAAAAAAAAACCCAAAGGGAATCGGTAAAAATCAAAGCGTAAATTTATTTACAATAAAAAATACAGAAATTTGGAATTCTAAAGATATATTTTTCATCACCAGTATAATTTATGTGTGTGTGTGTTATATTGTGTCTCTACTTCATGAAATCGTCTATTTAATTATAAATAGGTAGCAATGCGTTGAGATGTGTTGTATCTTGTACAACAGATCCAAAAAGAGTATAAAACAGATTCATACAAATGCCAATAGTTATTGTGCTATGTGAATGACCTCCTGCCATATGAATGTGGAATTTCTACCTCTCAGGACCTCCGCTCGTAACGAGCTCTATTGAGTGCACCGTCCGATATTTTTTGAAAGAAATTTAATAAACAAAATTACTTCCTTGTTCAGTTTAGTTATCTATAATATTCAAAGTTTGCAACATGGGGTATGAGCTGGACTCTAAATGTCACAGGGTGTGTGATGCTGTCCACTGTTAAGTGCACGGTGTTCCATGCTAGTGTCCTGCCGAATTAGTTGTAATGCAGACGAAATTGAACAATCGACCCCATGCAGTGACAAGCGCTAACCGCCAGGCTATCCATCTGCCAAATTACCTCAATGAAAGGCTTACTCCTTATGGTTATGAGAGTTGACGGAAGTGCAGCAACAAGAATTGCGCCATATGGTTCCATTAAGTAAAAATGTCACCAAATACAAAATAGTTTTGTTGTTTTTGTTTAAATTCCCCTTGGGTTTTTTTGGCCAGCTGCCATTTAAAACAAATCTGCAAAAACGGGATTTTTCAGCAAATTAAATGGTCATTCGACAATAATGGCAGTCCTCTCCATTCATCCAAACGTCTTGGGCAACAGTTGTGGAATTCATGATGTTAGACGGAGGCCAATACCATTACTGCAGGTCACATGCACACATTTATCATTCAATTAGCCGTATTGACAATGCCTGATGTGACCAGTCCATGAAACTCAGTTAGACCTGTAGATGGAGGGGACAGGCGAGTTCAAACTCTGGTTAACACGGCCCTGGTATGCGATTGTCATGAGTTCACAACTTAGATATGTCCTTCAGGATTAATTCTAACTGGGTTTTATCGATTTTGGCAACAACAAAAATAAGAACGATTTGTGGTCGCCAAACACAAGTTGTGCTGAATCGTACTTTTAATAATTTACTGTGTGGATGGTTATAGATTACAAATCCTGTGAATTCAAATGGGAGAATGGGTGGAAAGGACTTAATATTTGTTTTGTAAGTACATGTGATTTGCATCATATCAATATTACATTCCAAACAACATAATGTAAGGCAAACTAACTTTGCAACGTAAACTTATATTTGGATCAAACTCATATTCGGGAAACAAGCAAAACAAATGCAGGAACAAGATCAATATGTGTGTATTTGCATAAGAACTTAAAACCAACGAAACTATTGTTGAAAGGAAGTACAAAGAGAAAACAATACATTGTCCCACCATCACAGCCACCCAGCAGAAAAAAAAGTCAAATTCTCAAATGTTTAAAAAAACGTGAGCCATACTGTACCTTAACCTTCAAAGATGCGTACGTTTGGGCAAAAAGTTAAGAAAAAAAACTACGTTAGTAAAATTTAGCCAAATAGCAACCCGCAACTTTAGCTACGACGATAAAGCGAGGTCAGAACTACAGAGAAAGAATCTGAGCATGATTTCATCTCATGCAGCAGATGGTGTCGTGCGAAGATTTAAGGGGGAGTGAAATATGTATATATAAAATGTAAACGAGTGCAACAAATAAAACGTGGCAAACACCGTCAGGCGTTTTTAAAAATTTCAATGGGATTGATGGAATATTTTGAAACTGTTTGTCATTCAATTAAACGGGTCAACCGGTGGTGCATGCGGGGATTATGTACCAATGTCCAGCCTGAACATTCCACGTGGGGATAAAAAAAAAATATTTGACTTGTTTATGGTAATGCATGGCAAGTGCTCCGTTGTCAGAATGATGCATCTTACACATTGCAGGAATAAATCATTAGGCTGGAATGTGCCTCCGCACATTAGCTCTGCCTGGCGTGTGCAGCGGGCAGACGCAGCCTCGCCCTAACAAGTTGGGTAAGGAGGTGCCGTAGCTGTCCGTCACCGGTAGAGTGTGTAGAGAAAACGCACGCGAAATGGTGCTGCAATCTTGACGTGCAAAGCATGCCGGGACTTACTAAATTGTCTGTTTAAAGTCACTGCCTTGTTTTACACAGTGACCAGCCGTTGGGCGAGGTGGAAAGCGCGGCGATGCACCTCAACAGGATCTTAGGGCCTTCTTGAGTAAGTGTTCACGCTAATTGCTGCTCGCAGGCCCACCGCGAATAAGTTTAGTAAAACATGCACAATCTATATATTAAAATCTAGATACAATCTATATCGTTGCGTAGTTTTACGTTCTTTATGTGCATTAGTGGCAGATTTAAAAGGCAATGCACTCTACCTGTCTTTTTCCCGGTTGCATATAGCGCACACATGATATTACCTATTTAAGACCGAAAGAAGAGCATTTCTCCACAATTCTGGCTGTCGCCTGATGAAGCTAGTTGGAATCACCGGCAAACCATCATACTCGAATTGTAAATGTTGTGGGTTTACTCTCCAACACACCGGTGTGCTGAACTCGGAACTATATTTTGTTTTTGTGAAAAACCTCACTAATTGGCCGTGTTGGGTGGTGGATTTAACAACACATTTATATTTATGCGATCTAACTCATTACTTAAATACATTTTAGATTGTATCATTTTAAAATAATAATTATAATACTAATAATACCTTCCAGAGGGGCCCTCGAGGTCTGCTTCGAGTGGAGGCCCTTCCACCAGCAGCAGCATGAGCAAGCACTTGCAGGGCTGCACCTTTACCGTTTTAATAATTTAGTCCTTTGTCTGCGAGATGAAGGTCCCCCCAGGCTAGACTTCAGAATAACATTCATTCGTGTTATCTATATTTTGTTGAAGCCACCATAGCCTTTCATTTCATTCTGAAGGGGGTTGGGGCTATGGTAAAAATAAATGTGCACTGGGAATTTAAGTTTGTTCATTTTAAAAGCCCTACGAATGAGATATTGCCAAGGATCAGCTTTCACATCCAGGTACCGAGGATTTTAATAGTTTCCTAAGGGCAATCCATAGCCATAACCAACCACACAAGATGGCATCTGAGTGAGGCTATATCCCCAATTCAATAAGCAGTGCCAGTATTAAAGTCTACATTGCATTATCATGAGATGGCAATGCTCACAAACAATTATGACCAGTACCCAA